TAGGATTTTTCAAATGCTCATGTTCTTTAAGCATCTTTTTCTTTTCATTCAAGTAAAATGTTCATCAAGTGTCATGAATTGTAAATCAAACAAACATGTTTTAAATATTTGAAGAAGTATGAATATGCATCTAGATCAATGCAAATATATTACACTGCATGAGTATACAGAGTCACTGGCTCTCCTTTCTTTAATCAAAAAGATTTATTAGAATTATTTAATTGAAATATCTAATGAAATAGATATGATTTGTAATCAATTTTAACACTATTTAAATAGAAGATTTAAACTTTAAGACAACATATTACATTAAATTATACTTATATTCTAAAACTTCTTATAATACCAATTTAAAAATGAGATTTATCTTAGTTTTAGTATAAAAAACTTACAAGAAAAATAGCAATAATTAATATGTTAATTATTAAATGAATAATTGTACATAGAATAATACTGTTTTGTTCATGTTACCTAAATGTGTTTTCTCTGTTTCATTTTTGTTGTGTCAAGAAAACAATAAGAACTGAAATCTATTTTCATCTTTACATTCTAAATATATACTGTACAAACAAAGATAGGAAGGTGGCCTTAATAATTGGTTGTACTCATTTTATGCACTTCATACAATTTCATTTATGAATTGATAATATAAAAAAGATTTAGTGTCCATTTTATCTAGAAACTGTGAGATATTTGTACATTTCTAGATAAAACAAACACACTGTGTGTATAATTTTTCATTAATACAAAATTACATTTTAATTTATGCTCACTATGCTTATTATTATTACACTATTAGTTTAGTCCACCTTTATTTACGTAAAAAAACATGATATAGTATAAAATATATGACTATCAAGAAATATGATATTTCCAATAGATCTTATTACAGATATCAATTTTTTTTTAATTTACTCAGATACATAATAGTGTTATAAATTTGATTAAAAATATAATATTGCATTTTTTATTTTACCATATTTATAAACAATAAGGTTCTATTAATACTGCTTAAATTTTCTCTAATATATCATTTGTTATATAATCATAAAATACTGTTTACATTTATTTCATATAAATTCATATAAATTTTCAGTTG